GCCTTGAAAACTTCAAAACATCTCCGTCTAAATCCCATACATCTCCAGAGTTAAAGTGAAGGCTGAGAAGATTCCCTAAATCCATTTATCTCGCTATTCAGCATCACAAACAGTGGTCAATAGGAAGCTTCTCCCTTGCTTGTGGACTTGTACGTTGCATATGCTCCTCCTGAGTACCAGCTACTGGCAAAACTGGGGCATCTTCTAATCCCCTTTAAAGCCGTGAACACGGATAACTTAGATGGAATCAGCAAATTCCATAATCCGTGTAAGGAATGTTGAACAACCTTGGCACAGTTATTTTGTCTTGAATCTTATAGGGTGAAGATTATGAAGAACAAAGAAGAATGGTTCCCAGCTCGATTTCCTTCATGTTACAAATTTCCATAGATGACATCTGGCACTTTTTCTACCTGGCAAAGTTTTGAGTTTTCTAGCTTTTACCTAGAAGAAGTGCTTCCAATCATTGTACAGCCCTCTTCCTGTTCTTTCCTCCAGTTCTGGCAGAGAACATTCAAAATGTGATAAAGCATTTCAAAATTGGCCGTACCATAGATTTTCACAAGGACATTACAATTCCAGCAGTTGTATTTTTTTTCTCCTTTTTCTTAAACCTCCCTAGAATGGCATTCATTTCCACTTTATTCTGCTTTGTTAGGATGATTTTTCCCCATCCCCAGAATTTGGGATCAACTTACTTTGCTCCCAGATGTTTCGGAGTTGCTGCAAGAAAACAAAAATTTTTCCCCTGTATGGGCTCCTTCCTTTCCCTGATAAAACTAAATTGAAGTCACAATCCCGCATGGTTTAAGTGCCTTCTAATTTTATGACTCATAGCCACAGTGGCTGTAAAACAACAACTCTGAGAAGCAAACATGTAATTTGAAAAGCAATGTTTATCTAGCATTAAAAACAGTGCAAGTGTGGTGGGCTTTCAGGAGAGGAACACCACAGCTGCCTCCTCCTGTTGCCCTAAGTCAAAACATGGCATGTTTTTGGCTTGGCAGATTGTGCAAACGCAGTCCTTAGGATTGTAAACCATAGTTCATGGCTTAGTGTGTCATACCAACCCAGCCAACTGCAGTTGACTTGATAAACCACTGTTAAGCAAACGATGGCTTCACACATCATGTAAACCCAATGGTGGAATTTTTGAAACTATGACCAGACCACCGCTCCTTTCACAGCTCTGTGCAAAAGAAGCTTAAAAAACCCATATTACCATTTAATCAAATATCAGATTATCTACTTAAAGACGTTCCAGAAAAGAGCTGTAATGGTCTCTTCTACATAGGAAAGGAAGTCTACAACATGCTTGATGATTGAATTAACTCACTTTCTGACTTCACACAGTGTATTGACCACTCATAACTAACCAAATGGGCCATATACCCATTTGTTATATTATAACAATTATAATTATATATTACATATATATGTTTCTAGCTTCCTGAGGCTTTCAATGGCAGCTCTCCTTGGATGATTGGGAACAAGCAGACATCAAATTTGCATGCAAGGGATGTATTCTAGCAGGAACGACGGTCTCTCCAAAATAGAATGCTTGCTATTATTGCAAAAGGCTTCCCTGTCATTTTAATGGGGAAAGATAACAGTACTGTATCCATTTCAGTTTTGATAATTCTGACTGTGAACATCTTTCTTATCAGTTGCACGACTATTCTGGGCAATCCCTATCACCCACGTGCCAGTCTTGTTTTATCTAGCAGATAGCACACGAAGAGGTCTCTGCTATTCATATGAAGCATGCTTCTGAAGCACAAGACTTAGGGAGGTCCTCTCCTTGGCTTTATTATTATTTTTATTTATTACATCATAAAATACAAATAACAGCCAAGTACAGGGCTATTTATACAACAAGACCTGGAAGCGATTAACCCTGTAATGATTACAGAACATTAAAACATTCAAAGCAGAAAATGTGTATCCATGTTAAGTACGATTCTGAGATGCAAATGGACAGAGAGTTGCTTACGTTGTAGAGATAATGCTGAATATAACACAGAGAAGAAGTTGCAAAGTAGAAAAGTAGATATTTTATTTTATTTATTTCTCGTATTTATATAGCTGCCCATCTCAACCACACTGGCTAAGTATTGAGTTTCTCACTTTGCCTTTCTCTGTACTCCGACTGATTTGCCTTTACCTTCTTGTATGGCTCAAGGTTTAGCTTTATCAAATGATACACCAGAGCCCACGAGAAAGAGAGAGAAGAAAACATGAGCTCCATCTCACACCTAACTTTCCAGTTCCTCCAAGATCAATTTCCATCAGTTGGTCTTCTCAAAACCAAGGGATGATTCATGTATGCAATGGGCAGTATGAGAACTTTTCCGAACATAGATTCAAAACAGACAAAAAGCATCAGATTAGTCTTTATACTAGATTAGTCAACATCATCTACTCCCAGATGCATCTAATCTGAGATGCCAAGAATTCATCTTGGATATGGGAAACATACGGACACAGCCATGTCATTTTCTTATTCTTATTCTGCAGATAAATCAAAAAGACTACCGACTTAAGCACAGATCTCTTCAATCTTCGGACGGGAAAGAGAATGAAACCGAGTGGTTAAATCTAGAAAACCAATTCACCTCTATTGCAACATAACATACAATAAGCTGGAAGCAAACACCATCAAACAAATTTGCATCTAGCTCTGGGATAATATCTACAAGACATTTTTTTCTTTGCAGAGCCAAAATACCATGCCTGTACTTTCTTCCCTCTGCCCTTTCTTTTCACTGTAGCATGTACAAGAATAATAATTAAAAAGCAACCCTAACAGCTCAAATGCAGAAGGCCAGTACAGAACACGATAGAAAGTTACCCAACACAAACAGCCATCCTTTCTTTACAGGAATAACGTAACACAAAAGAAGGGGCGAGATTAACTATTAACTCTGGCATCATTATTTAGCCTTCAAATAAAGAATCCAATAACTGATCATCATAAAAGCTGTTATCTAGAAGGGAATGGAAGATGTAAATAGCTTAATAGCAAGGCAACAATACCCATAAAATATCACAAAGTTCTCCATAAGCTATAGGAGCAAAGCAAATGACAAGAACAAAAAAGGCAAGTACTTGAGTGGTTTTGCAAAATATTCTTTAAAAGTGAGTTACAGATAGAGTCTTTTGGGGAGGGAACAGAAGAATTTGTCCATTCAAGCCAGATGCCTCCTTTGAATCTCCAAAGAGGGCATATCTTTATGTTTCTGTTCTGTTGTCGTTCTATGGACGTAAATTCAGAGGTTCATTTAATCTTGGATGGAATATGTAGAGATCATAGCAGGTTGTCATTGTGGGTTCTATCATCTACAGTGGTCTGTAATCCCTTATGAAAGACATCAAAGCTGGTAGCTGTCAACACATCTTGTGGCAAAGAATCCTACAGGGTAATTAAGTCACTGCATGAAACACTGCAATTTTTAGACAAGTGCCAAACTTTTCTTCTCTCCTCCTTCTTCCCAACTTCTTTTTTTTGGTGAGCCATGTCCTTAAAATTGGAAAACACACACACACACACACACACACACACACAGAGGAATGGTCTCACTACAGATATCTGGAAGTCTTTTGGGTTCTCCATACATTATGTCATGTTACTTCATTTATAAACAGTTCTTTCCTCTTCCATTCACAAGACTCTGGGCAGCTCCACCAGCATTCTGATAAAGCCATAACAAGATACGCCTGGATAAATCATATTAAAACTAAAATTAAATTGGAACCAACACCACAACCAAAATGCTTCCAAAACACAGATCACAACAAAGGATGCCCAGAGAGAAGGTACTTTCGCCCCATAGGCACAGTGGGAAAATGTTCTTTTTAGCACCTTCCAAACAGCAACAGAGTTGGGGCCCTCCAGACCTTGGAGGACCAGCTATTCCCAAGAGATGGGTTGCTACTAAGTGGGCTGGTTTTCAGGCCCCCAACCTCTTCCTTCTGAGGATGTGTGGGCAAACCAACCCTGTCTGGGTCTCCATCTCAAGCATTTACTTAAATGTCACCAGTTTTGTCACTCCTCACGGTCCTGCTGTTGAGTCCTCAATGTGGTCCCCAGACCCTGCTCTCCATTTCATCAGGGGGCTAGACCTTCTCTTTATCCTCTTTTTTTCCACACCCTCTGTCATTTTACAGAACTCAAAAGGGTGGGCCACCGCCATCTCTTACTCACCTTCCTGGCTTAATCTTCCCAAAGAAAAATAAACACCTTCAAATGCGTCAACAGCTTCTAAAATAAACTTCCGTTTGAGAACATCTGCTCAAAAGCCAGACAGTGTTTTTATCAAGCGGCCTTATTTTTTTTTTTTTCTGATTTATTCATTCACCTGTTACCACAGCTTCCCTTCAGCTTCCAGAGAGACCAGCACTTCAATCATGCTGAGAAAGTGCTTCCATTCTCTGCTAAACATTCAGGTAATTTATTTGCGCATTTCAGTTATTTTAGTCCCCAATCTGCCAGGAATCAAAAGTACCAATTTAGACTGATTTAGACCTTCAACTCTAGACACCAGGAGAAGGCAACCAATGCTCCCTACAGCATATGGGGTTGATTTTTGCAGCCCCAGAGCTCCTATAGACACCCGCTGCTGAAAACAAGTGGAGCAAAGACATGAACGTTGGACTTCAACCTTAAATTACACTTTAGTGTAAAAGAGAAAAAGAAAAGGAAAAGATCAAAACCTGGTGAAAAAAACATCCTGAATGCCAGTCGTGAGTGTGAGACTCAACCTCAACTAATCTGCATACTTGCCCCACCCACAAACTCTCACCCTCCTCCAAACTCTAAATGGAGTCTCCATTGCCATGTAAAGATTGTGTTCACACAGTATGTTGGACCAGCACCTCCCTACTATGCACACCCCAAAGGTTAATTCAGAAGCTCAGTTAAATCTGTGGTAAGATATGGCTACACACTGGGAGTAAATCTGAACCTCAGCGATGGAAATGCTGCAACCATCATTTCCTACCTTCGTCTCAGTCCTCCTTGTGGTCCCGTCTTCTGAAGTCACAATAGAAACGTGAGATGTGGGGGTACCAGGATCTTCTTCTACGGTCACAGTCTCCTCTACCATCTCTTGGGGCTCTTGCATCATAGCTATGGATGTCTGGTTGCTGGGACTTTGCTCCTAGATAGGAAAGAATGGGCAGTCTCAAAAACTTAGGCAGAAAAGGAGGAGAAGAAGCCTATGATAAAATTTAAGAAGGGTGTAAAACACCTATGCAAATCACAGCCAAGAATACGTAGGTCTCCTGGAGATTCCCAAACCTCATTTTTGGCTCCATATTTGCAAGTTCTTTAACCGCAGCTGATGCATTATCACTGTTGAAGCTCCTAGCCCATCCAGATGCTTGCTCACTCAATTCAGAGGTGGCTTTAGGCATTCAAGAGAGCCACTTCATATTAATTGGATGGGTTCCAATTCCTTATGTTTGGGGATCTACTCATCCTTTAGTTATCATGAAAACCTGGTTTATACTGTGAAGGTGATATGGTTTATAGATTTTGGTTAGAATATCTCTGTATGCTTTGAAGGCCTTTTGGAGGTCCTCCTACACTCATTTTTCTCCTTGACTTGAAGGAGGAGAAGAAGACAACCTAAAACTCCTTAAAAGCAGACCCACAGATCTCTTTTCACACTAAACAACCAAACTGTTCTGAAAAGGAACAATGTAGGATAGGCTGGGTACAGTTGTTGTTTTTCCACACTGTCTCATTTTACCTACACTAGATCCGTTTCGACCTATTCTGCCAACAGTTTGCAATTTTTTAAAGATAATCCTGCCCCCAAATGCATTAATATGCCTTCTTTTCTATGCATATTTCTTAATGCATCTATGGCATTTTGCAAAGGTTGTTATCGTTATTATTATTATTATTATTACTATTCAGAAAAGTCAGCCAAACATTTGCAGCGTTTTGGGGTCCATTTCATCAAATACACACTTTTTCTTCCTCTGCAAGTTTCCTTAATGTAGGCACTTCCATCCATTCTTTTTAACCTAATCTATGTGTTTTTCCCCACTGGTGTCTGACTTTTCCCTTAATGCTCATACTTTTGAGGTTAAACTGACCGAGGGGCTACCCTGTCGTTATAATGGATGCACTAAATAACTCCAGTTAAGTGGAGATCTTTCAAAGGCACCATTTACTGCTTATTCACAAGAAATGGTTTTGTCATATTTAAAAGCAATTTCCATGCTCCCTCCCCTCCTTGGGTCAAGCTGCTGTGTTCATAGATACAACACCTCTAAATAACAAATGTTCTGCCAACTCCAGGACTCTAAATCTATGTAGTTACTTAGAAGACTTGCACCACTCTTAAATTAGTCTCTTTCCCCGTGACTGGGGGCTCTTCTTCACCCCCGCCCCATTGATGGGCTTTCCTCCCATCCTTGAGATGGGAGGATAGTACAACAATATTAAATGCCTGCCCCCACAACATTCCTTTTACTGAACCCCAGCAAGGAGGCCTGTTGTGTTACTGTGTTGGCAGAAAATCCAGATATTCAGTTCCAGGGGAGTTCAGTGATTCAAAATAAATCGCCAAAGCAATTCAAAGCACCTAGCTGAATTGATTTAGAAAGAGCTGGATACAACACAGGGATGTGACAGGCTTTTACAATGTGCAAAGGTGCCTCCTTCCAAGGATCTGAATTGGATTCATTCCAATTTTGCAGTCATTCACCCCCACTCCCACCCACCCCCACGCTTGCATCTTATCCACCGGCAGAAGGAAAGTCCATGGTATTTAAGGCAGAAAATCCTTTCTGAAAGCGCCAGAATGAGATTCTCCTCAAACATCGATCCACTGACGAGGTCCCTCTGCTATAACCAGTCCTCTCGTGTTTGTTTCAAACTGACCCACTGCACTCCTGCTTCCAAAAATAGGTAGCTGAATTTTAATTGTTCTCAATACTTCCATCGCTGTTCTCCAATGTTACATGAGGGTACAAGAAACAGTCCTTGGCTTTCCAAGTTTTTCCTGCTTATCAATGTGTCTCCCACAGCTCACCAAGAAAAGAAAGGTCCTACAAGGCTACACATGGTTTAACTTCTTGTATTCACAAAAATGAAGCCTTAGTACCCAAAGCATGTACTTTACTACTGAGCTATGGTCTCCTTCCCATCAAAGGAGAGCTAACTTGGAGTTGATGATCTAAAAGCTGGCCTATGAATGATTCTGAAAATAAAAGTGAGACCTGAGCCCCTGCCCTGATCTACCCACCAGCATGTTGATGGTATCAGCGTAGTGACAATACTGATCTGCCCTAGACACCCCTGGTTTCATTCTCATTACTGCATCAACTCAAGAAATTGCCTCAATTTCCTGAAAAACACTGTTCTATCCACCTCCAAGCCTTTGATAGCTGGCATATTAGTGTTCGAGAAACTGGGTAGGTTTAACTTGGAGAGGAGAAAACTTAGTGCCTGAAGGACTATGGCTTAAGACAGGTCAAAGATTAATTTTCCTTCTGGCCTAAGAAGGAGAAATGGACACTGGGAGTGAATGTTAGGTGTTTAAGATAGAAGGAAGAGTGACCTAGAAAGAAAGATGGTTCTCCTTCAGTGAAAGCCTATAAGCAGATGACGTTTTGGGGAAAAGACCTAGATCCCTTGTATCAAACATGGGGTTGGTCTAAAAGACCCTTGCTGATGGTAATATTCTAAGAAAGTTTTTTAGTTTCGTTTTTCTACAGCGTTTGTTTTTCAATATTACTTATCCTGACCTTCCATATGGGAAAAAACGTATGCTTGAGAATCAAGCATTTGAGATGACAACATCTGTAAGTTGCAAATATCTGTCCTCACGTTTTTTCACTAGCATTTTCTGTTCCTGATATTTTTAAAATCCTCTGGGTTCGCAGGTAAGGCGTAACTTTTGTTGTACAGCAGAGATGGTCCTGAATGTGTTTTTTCTGTGCAGCTGAAGGAGGCTGCCAAGATTTCAGTGCTCTTTGTTCAAACTCTGCATGGGAAGAAAATGTATCTCTTAATTCTTACATGATCTTGGGCTTCCTTTGAGACAAACCGGCTAAGGTGCCCTTGTTTGCCCCGGCTTTATTTACTGCCTGACATTGTGGAAGAAGATGCCATGTCAAAATTAAAGGCTTAGATTTTAGCCCTGAAAGCAGCTTTTGCTTCCAAGGAACTCCAACAATAAGCCCCATCACAATGCCATTCTTCTATTCCCAACCCTCATAGATGTGGCCAGGAATAAATGAGGACAAAGGTCTTCCCTCCTTGTTTTAATGAGGACCAAAACTGTCTCTTCATACACACAAGCAAAGTGCAGTCTGTTTAAAAATGGCTTCCTGGATCAGGGAAGAATGTCTGAGTCAAAGCCTGGGGCACTAAAAATTGTCCCTGGAAGAAGCCACAAATGGACCTGACCTTTCCCACAAAGCCTTAACAGTTCTAAGTGAGAGGATCTGGTTTCTTATCCTCTCTTGTTCACATCATCTCCTTGCATGATTGACTTGAGTTCTCGTTTCACTACTCTATTTGCTAGCCCTTCACTCATTAATTCATTCCACATCTGCAGCGTGCATCCTTGCCTGCCTGCCTGCCTGCCTGCCTGCCTGCCTGCCTCCCTCCCTCCTTCCTTCCTTCCTTCCTTCGTAGAAAATCTATGTAGTTGCTAAGAGTTGACATGCACTTGATGGCATATAATCAGTCAATAATCAGTCAATCAATAATGCAATCTTAGATGTCTTCCAAACTGGTGTTCCATCTCAACTCCACTCAACTGCCCATCCCTTCATCTCCCCTTGGCTCAAATTCCTGAAGCAGTAAATTCTTCTTTGTGACATTAAGCCTGAGAAGAATACTAGGAGAGAAAAGAATATTTTCACCCTTTTCAAGTTCTTTTTGCAGCTCTTCTTTGAAAATATGTTTCGGATACAAATAAAACTCCCACTTTGCATTCTGCTTTGCCTGCGGGCATAGCAAATCTTTAAAGCTTGGAACTTACCCATACATAAAGTAAGTTTTAAATTAGCCTTTTTTTTTTTTTAATTTCAGTGACAGACTTGGAAATCACAGTCCTGGGACATTTTTAGAGTGAAGCTACATTCCTAAAACAGCATGCAAATAGTTTGGAAGGCCAAGTCTCCCCAAATTGGAAATTAAATCCCTTGCTTGACTCATTCTCAGGGAAATGTGGTTGGCACCAATACTCTTATTTGGAGTTCTCCAGGTTTTGGGAGATCAATACCAAAGTAGAAATCACATTTTTTGCAGAAGTTTTGCCCCACATTGTAATGGTTCAGAAAGGTGTGTAAAAAGTGTGATATCTACTTCAGTGTTGATCTCCTTTAAGCCTTGGAGAACTCTAACTAAAAGCAAAGTTGGGCTACTATTATCCCAAGAAATCCTTAAAGAGTAACACTCATTCTTTCTAGGACACAACAAAAATGCTTTGACTGGTTCTCTGGTCTTTCACTTCCATGTATTAGTGACATTCTCCATATACATACTACCCCAAAACATGGACAAGGTGTCTTCATCCAGTTTCACCTAACGAGTGAGATTTCCAATCCTGCATTAGAAAATGTTAACAAGTACATTTTTCCTCTGTTGAAAATTATTTTTGAAGTATACTTGCTCTCCTCTTTTGCCTCCAAGAGAAATTCAAGAGCAAGTTCTATTGAAGCTCTTCTATTTGTTTAGTTTCCTCCTTCTGAGACCTCCTTCTATTCCCCAGGATTTTTTCCCCTCAATTTAATTTTGGACTAAAGACAAAGTTTGCAAAGGTCTCCCTGGGAACTTAAGCTCACAACTAAAATGAGTTTCCTCCCTCCTACATAATAGCACAGTGTAAGGTTCAAGGATCCAAAACAAATAAAACAGCGAACTCCGAATAGGTTGTATTTATAAAAGAATAAAAGTTTAAAAGTTTATAAACGTTTACCAAGCTTCCATTTGCCTTCAAAATAAAGGATTTTTGAAGCAAGTCCTCTCCCTCTTACAGTTACAGGAATTCTCTAAAACAGGAATCTCTAGAGAAAGGAGAGTCCATTTTTAAACTTAATATATCTTGCTGTTCTATTTAAATCAACATTCCAGGTGGCTCTTCGCACACCGTTCAAAATAGAGAGAGCTGTACAAGCTTAATAAGTCAACATC